AGACACTGATTCCAGAGAGAAGCATCAATTGGTTGTCTCTCATACACACTCCGACTGGGGATTGAACCCACAACCTAAGTTTGTACCCTAACTGGAAATCAGGCTTGCAACCTTTCGGTGTATGGGACGACACTCCAACCAACTGAACCATCTGGCCAGGGTTAAATCTATTTTTTATTATACTTTCTGCTGAATGTCCTCAGCAGTTCTTTCATTGATTAATTAATTTATTCAATAAATACAGTAAAACCTCGATATAATGGACGAACTTGGGCAAGGGGGTGTCCCTTAAAGCTGAAAGTCTATTATATAATAAAGTAGGTCTTCCAAATGCTGCGCATATTAAAAAATTGACAAATTAGTTTACCTATTTTTACTTAAGTAGACACGTTTATGTAATTAAAATTAAGTATGTATAAAAAAGAAAAGTTTAATTTCACAGAAAAGCTTTCTGTATGTATTACAGTAATTTTAAATTTATACTGAATAGGTCTAGTAAATTGCTGGGGTCCAACCCCAGCGGGTCCAGAGGTCCCCAAAGGTGTGGATGGAGACGGCGAAGAAGGAATGACACAGAGACAGTGTTCAGTTGATCAGTAGCCTAGCCAGGATCTCTAACCAGGATCTTCAGCCAAGTTCTGGTCTGGATCTCCAGCGAAGTTCTGGTTAGGATCTCCAGCCAGGTTCTGTGTCCATGTTCTCTTGCTAGGTTCTCCGGCCAGGTTCTGTCCAGGTTCTCCAGCCAGGTTCAGTCACCAGGTTCTAGTCAGGTTCTCTTGCCAATTTCTGTAGTCAGGTTCAGTCCAGGATCTTTTGCCATGTTCTCTCACTAGGTTCTGTCTCTAGGTTCTGAGGCCAGTTTCTGTCCAGGATCTTTTGCCATGTTCTCTCCAGCAAAGTTCTTCTGTCTCTAGAGAACGTTCTGTGTAGGTTCTGTGCCTAGGTTCTGTCTCTCTTGGTTCTGTATTCTAAGTTCTGTGTCTTGCTGTCTTATTACATCTGTATTTATACCAGTTGATTCAATCCTATCACTCTCTATTACAAAGGTTAGGGCGTTTCTTATCTCCATTCCAGGGAGTAAAGATTATGTAGCTTAAGCATGATTGTTCGTAGTTAAAGTGATTACCCACCTGGCACTAGTTAAGAGGTTTTATTCCCTCCCTAACTTCAGGGGAAAATCCCTACCTGGGGAAACAACCTTTCTCAGAGACCTTGGTTAAAACACATAGTGCCAAGAAGGTGAGCAAACATATTAAGAACAGTACGCCATATATGCCAGGTCCCTTGAAACAGCAAGCATGGACCGGCTCCCGGCAGTAAATGATCACATTCATCACTCATTACAAGTAAACAAATGCACACAGCTGGGGAGTGGCTTAGCACACATGGGAACATCAGGGCAAACATTAAAACTGCTGCAGAGAGAGAAACCAAGATGGCGGCATAGGTAAACACTGGAGTTTGCTGCCTCGAACAACCACTTCAAAAATACAACTAAAAGACGGAACGGACATCATCCAGAACCACAGGAAGGCTGGCTGAGTGGAAATTCTACAACTAGAAGGAAAGAGAAAAGCATACCGAGACTCAGAGGATGCGCAGTGCAGAAGTAAAATACTAAGGTACAGAGGTGCACACAGAGCGGGCTGGCGGCTGAGGGCGCGGTAGTCGTTTTCAATCGGGAGGGAATCTCAGGCCCTGAGCTCCAGTTCCCGGCGAGTCTCTGGGGACCCAGACTCATAGGGGAGAAGTGGGACTGTCTGGCATCAGTTGGAACTCGAGGGCAGCTTTCTCTCGGAGAGGCTTTCAGCGATTGCCAAGACACTGAGATGCCGGGCCTGTGAGCAGCCATAATTGCTAGCCCCGCCCTGTTGATCCCGTGGGACCCGCCCTAACCCACCCAAGCCCTGCAGGGAGGCCTTTGCTGGATAGTCTCAGGCAGAGGCTAGATTAGCACCTCCCTAGAGATCCAGGAGCCAGGGTACCCAGAGGTCAGAGTGGGACCATCCAGTTTGCAGCTCCGTGGAACCATAAAGGACACACTCAGGGGGCAGACTCAGTGAGCACCAAAGACCCATTGAAGCAAGTCTTGCCCCAGAGGGGTGTCTCCAGGACAGAAGTTCTCCCGCTGCAGACACAGCTGATTCTCACAGCCAATTGGCCTGGAGGTCAATTCCTTCCAGTGATACCAACAACAATCAAGGCTTAACTACAACAAGACTGTGGACAAAGACCACAAGGGGGTGCACCAAGAGTGTCCTCCTCAGGTAACTGGGGAGGCTGAACCACTGGGCCCTAGAGGACACTTAGCACAGAAAACCACTTTATCAACACAAGGAAGCATAAAAAATGCAGAGACAAAGAAAAAGGATATAAATGACAGATATGGAGGAAAGCAAATGACTGGATATAGAGTTCAAAACCACACTTTTAAGGTTTTTCAAGAATTTTCTAGAAACGGCCGATAAACTTAATGAGACCTACAAGAAATCTAATGAGACCCTTGAGGTTGTGATAAAGGACCAACTAGAAATTAAGCATACACTGACTGAAATAAAGAATATTATACAGACTCCCAACAGCAGACTAGAGAATCACAAAAATCATGTCAACGATTTGAAATACGAAGAAGCAAAAAACACCCAACTGGAAAAACAAAATGAAAAAAGAATCCAAAAATACGGAGATAGTGTAAGGAGCCTCTGGGACAGCTTCAAGCGTACCAACATCAGAATTATAGGGGTGCCAGAAGATGAGAGAGAGCAAGATATTGAAAACCTATTTGAAGAAATCATGACAGAAAACTTCCCCTACCTGGTGAAAGAAATAGACTTACAAGTCCAGGAAGCACGGAGAACTCCAAACAAAAGGAATCCAAAGAGGACCACACCAAGACACGTCATAATTAAAATGCCAAGAGCAAAAGACAAAGAGAGAATCTTAAAAGCAGCAAGAGAAAGAAACTCAGTTACCTACAAGGGAGCACCCATACAACTGTCAGCTGATTTCTCAACAGAAACTTTGCAGGCCAGAAGGGAGTGGCAAGAAATATTCAAAGTGATGAATACCAAGAACCTACAACCAAGATTACTTTATCCAGAAAAGCTATCATTCAGAATTGAAGGTCAGATAAAGAGCTTCACAGATAAGAAAAAGCTAAAGGAGTTCATTACCACCAAACCAGTATTATATGAAATGCTGAAAGGTATCCTTTAAGAAGAGGAAGAAGGAGAAAAAGTTACAGATACAAATTATGAACAACAAATACACATCTATCAACAAGTGAATCTGAAAAACAAGTGAATAATCTGATGAACAGAATGAACTGGTGATTATAATAGAATCAGGGGCATAGAAAGGGAGTGGATTGACTATTCTTGGGGGGAAAAGGGGTGAGGGGGATGTGGGAAGAGACTGGACAAAAATCGTGCACCTATGGATGAGGACAGTGGGTGGGGAGTGAGGGAGGAGAGTGGGGTGGGAACTGGGTGGAGAGGAGTTATGGGGGGAAAAAAGAGGAACAAATGTAATAATCTGAACAATAAATATTTAATTAATTAAAAAAAAGAACTGCTGCAGAACCCTAGTTGGTTTGGCTCAGTGGATAGAGCAATGGTCTGTGGACTGAAAGGTCCCAGGTTCTATGCTGGTTAAGGGCACATGCCCAGGTTTTGGGTCCAACCCCCAGTAGGGGGCATGCAGGAGGTAGCCGATCAATGGTTCTTTCTCATCATTGATGTTTTTCTCTCCCTTCTTCTCTGAAATCAATACAAATATATTTAAAAAATGGGTTCTACTGAAAGCAAATTCACAGGCTGATCTCATCATGAATTCCTAACTGGGAAGATCATGGTGGGTAGTCATGCCCCAAACATATAACTTCTTTAGTAAAAGGGTTATCTTTGCCTGAGCAAGCCCTGTCCATTGTTCTTGTACACTAGGTTAACTCACTTTTGGAATGCCAGAGTAATTCTCTTTTTCAGACTCCTAGGAGGCATAAGAATCCCAAAGGAGCACATACTCTTGTTAACCATACTGTAATCCAGTCTCACCTTGTTTACTCCCATCTTCATTTAATTTTCCTTATGTTCCCACCTTAATTTCAAATTCATAAAAGAAACTGCAAACTGTCGTTCTAGTAAGTGTTTTTTACTCAAACTGTTGAGATCTTGTTTCCAGTTGTCCTCTGTTTGACTCAAATAAATGTTTAAAAAATTTTAAATTCATTTTTAGAGAGAGGGGAAGGGAGAGGGAGAGAGAGAAAGATTCATGGGAATGCCTCCTGCACACACCCCACTGGAGATCAGCCAGCAACCCGGACATGTGCCCTCACTGAGAATCTAACCTGAAAGCTTTCCGGGCACGGGAGGACACCCAACCAACTGAACCACACTGGCCAAGGCTCAAATACATTTTTATAAAAATACAGGTTTTAACCTTCTTACAAGAGCAGTCTTGGAAGCACTGTCATCACACTTCCATTCCAGGCACCAAAATATTCTCATTTAAACACATTTAAAGAAAGTAACGCTATTAACAATGAACTGCAGAGTCAAGACAGTCTTGTTAAAGCTCAATACCCAGCAGCTAACACATTATCTGGCACTGAGCTACCTTTTGTAAATCATTTGTGAATTCGAGAAAGCCAGTGTTGCCCAGTGGTTGAGCGTAGACCATGCACCAGGAGGTCCCCAGTTCCATTCCCCATAGGTGCACATGCCCAGCAGGGGACGTGAAGGAGGCAGCCCTTGATGTTTCTTTCACACCGATGTTTGTCTGTGCCTCTTCCTTCCTCTCTCTGAAATCAATAAAAGCATTTAAAAAAAAATGATGTCACGGATAATTTCCCCAAGGTAGGGACCGGTATTTCCCTCTCTGTTTAGTCCCATGGGCCCCGGAAGCCCCTTTGGGCCGGTGTGGGGAGACGGGGCTGCGGGGAGACGTGCTCAGCTGGTGGACTGGCGGCGGAACCCTAGGAGGCGGAACTTGGGCTGCCCGGTGCTACAATCCTGCGGACCATCAGAAGTGCAGCACCCGCGGGCCCGGAAGGAGTTGACGGGAGCTGGGGCAGCGGCAGCCATCGCGCTTTGCTGTTGGGTTTCAGAGGGTGTAGGGCTGACGCCAATTAAGGAATCGCGTTCTCTCCAATCGCAGGTGAGTGACGGCCTCTCCTCTGGGGAGAACCGGCGGGCGGCAGCTGTGGATCCCGAGGAAGGCGCACTTTCTGGGTCTGGGCTCCTCCAGAGTCCTCGCCTGTGGCGGGGCTAGGAAGGGGCGCCTGTTTTTCGCCCCGGAATCTGGCGGCGCGAGGCAGGGTGGGTTCCTTTTCTGTTGTGCGGGGCCGCTGTGATGGTGCTCTGGGCAGGACACCGCTGCTGTCAAACGGTGGGTTATTTGAGGAAAGAACGAGATGACTCTAAACTGCAGGCAAGCCCTTCCTTGCCCTCGGCCTCAGTTTCCTCACCGGGTAAGGCGAGGGCGGCCGGAATCTGACAGCTCAAGAGGCTGTGGCACTGCGTGTTGTTTTCAGCCTCCCAATTAGGGGCTCACTGCGCTTTACTACTGGGAGTTGACATCTTGCCACAGCGCAGGTCCCACAGCTCAAGTCCCATTCGAGTGGGAAAAAATCCACTTCTGGGGGAAACTGTAATGACTTATAAATTGTTCCAGGATTTTACAACAAGATAGAAATTTGTTTTGACAGCAGCGAAAACTCTGACATGGGAGGCCAAAAAACCCCCACCAAACTCGTCAGAAATTTAAGGTATTTGGTACGTGGGCAAAATGAGGTTAAGAGATCTTTTTACCTAGAAAAATTAAACCTAGTATTATTTGCATGTTGTTAAATCAGGGTCTGTACAGCTCTGAAGAATGTCGTCTGTCCAGTGTTAAGTACCAGTTAAGAGTAAGTCACAGTGAAGCGAATGAAAGAAAAGGAAAGGAACATGTATTGACTACTGTTTGAAGGCGCTAGCTATGCTCACAGCCATCCACTAAGGAAGGTAGTGGCATCATTTCTATTTTACAGAGGAGGAATAAAGGACGCTTTACAGTTTGTCAGTGATTAGTGGTGCTGATGTATCAAAGCAGTTGTATAAGTAATATTGTTTAGTGGATTTGCATTCATTACCAAACTATTTTGAACTTTAAAAACTTTCAGGTTTATAGTTCATTGGTATTTTCTGAGTTTGCGGGAAAGGAAGGTGTTGCCTTTATTTTAGAAATGTTAGAGAAGTGTTTTCAATAATTACGAAGATTAGCAGTTTAAATGGGGTACATTTTAACTTCCCTTTCCTTGCATTTCAAGCAAGAATTGAGACAAAAGATTGGTCTATTAAAAATAAAAATCAGGCGGGGGAAAAAAAGAAAAAAAAAAAGGACACATACCCTTTGTAATACTTTAAGCAATAAATAAAAATAAAAAAATAAAAATCACTGCCACATCATTTGAAGCTTACCAATCAGAGTTCTATAGTAATGATTATTTTTCCATCCTCTTCCTTACGTACACTTATCTGAAACTCATTTAAATTATTTCTCTGCAAAACATTAAGCAAATAATTTTAAAATCACAGTGTTGAAAAGTTTCTCTTCCTTTTGTATACGTTTTAGAACAATTTCAGTTAAAAATATTTTAAGGATTGAATTTGTCATTGCTTATGTCAATTTTCATTTTAAAAACATTTTTATTGATTTCAGAGAGGAAGGGAGAGAGATAGAAACATGATGAGAATCATTGATCGGCTGCCTCCTGCCCCCTACTGGGAACCATGCCCACAACCCAGGCATGTGCCCTTGATGAGAATCGAACCTGGGGCCCATCAGTCAGCAGGCCGAAGTTCTATCCACTGAACCAAACCAGCCAGGGCAGTTTTCATTTTCTTTCTTTTTTAAATATATTTTATTGATTTTTCACAGAGAGGAAGGGAGAGAGATAGAGAGTTAGAAACATCGACGAGAGAGAAACATCAATCAGCTGCCTCCTGCACATCCCCCACTGGGGATATGCCCGCAACCAAGGCACATGCCCCCGACCAGAATCGAACCTGGGACCCCTCAGTCCGCAGGCCGACGCTCTATCCACTGAGCCAAACCGGTTCCGGCAGTTTTCATTTTCTTAATTCAGTACAGGCAAGTTCAGTACTCACACACAACTTTTTTCATAATATAGAGGTTTCCCCCCTTTTTTTTCATTCTTAAAAGAATCCTACTATTGATATTTGTCACAGATTTAACTGTCTTTTAATCGAGTATCACTTTTCCCTAGAGGAAACTTAGTGTGTACTTTTTGTTGATTACATTAACCAAAAGGTCATGTTCCATTATTGTAATTGCTATGTATTCATTCCTAAAATATTTTCTTGAGATTTTTATTTGCATCACTGCTTTAAAACTTTAAAGGCTATAGAAAGAAAATCTAACAGTTTTAGGGGAGAATATTTATGAAGCAGTGTTGTCTTGAAACACCGAACATGGTTACTCTTGATCCTTAGTAATGCACAGGGCCTTGCTGAAATTCTGCAAAACATGGTCAAGAAGAGGTTTTGGCCTTCTTTATATTTCTAGTATTTCAATTAGAGAGAGAGGTATATATAATTCTAAATTGGCTTACAGATAGTATACTCACCTTATGGATTTTGTACCTTTTTTTATTTGTTTGTTTATTCTTTTTCCCCGTCACCCCTTCCCCTTCCTCCACTTTCCACCCCCCGAAACCTGTCCATGATTTAATCATAAACCTGACACAATTAGGTAAAAAATTTTGATTTATCTCTTCTAGTGAAATTTCCTTTTACCTCAAGTTGAAGGAAACTAGTCTAGTGCCCTTTCTGGTGACAGTGCTGTTAATATTTAAAATAGAATCAGAATACCATTTAAAACTTGCTCATATTAAAAGTTGTTAATATGTTTAAAAAAATTTAATTGATTTGAGAGAGAAAGAGAAACATCAATTTTTGTTTTTCTACTTATTTATGCATTCATTGGTTGATTCTTACATGTCCCGGCAATCTTGGCATATCAGGACAGTGCTCTAACCAACTGAGCTATACCAGACCAGGCCTAAAAATTGTTAATATTGAAGTTAATTTGAAAATTGGCATTTAAAGTTTTGTGCACTGAACTTTAAGTAATTTAGTCTGGATGAGTTAACACCATCTTATATTGTATAGTATTCAAGGTGTTTTGGGGTACATTATCATATTTAACCATTCTTACAACACTGAGGCAGGTGGTTATTCCCATTATAGTAGGAGGAAACGGGGGCTCGGAAAGATTGACTTTTCCAGAATGAAATAATAGTATTTCAAAATATGCATGTTAAATCCATATTTTTAAAATTCTAGACAGGTACTCTATCCATTTTACCATAGCTCTACCATACTTTATTTCCAAAAGTTATTAATGTATTGATTGTATAATCCTACTCTGATATTATATTTGCCTCGTTAGACTATCATAGCTTTTATTTTCTTTGAGTAGTACTTTTTGGAGTATTTGCATCCTGTTGTAGTTTATTTATTTTTTCCCCCTAAAGGTTACACCTAAATGGTTCTGCCTAATTACTTATATAAATTTGTTGTAAATATTAAAAGACCATGTAAATTTGACTAATTTTTAATATTACCTTTATTGAATAGTTCATGTATCATAAAATTTACCCTTATAAATACAGTTCAGTGTTTTTAGCATATTCACAATGTTATGCAACCATCACCACTGTCTAATTCCAGAACATTTTGTCACCCCCAAAAAGAAACCCAGTACCCATTAGCAACCACTCCTCCCAGTTTTCTCTTCCCTTCCTGTCTGAAAAACACTAATCTACTTATTCTAAGGATTTGCCTATTTAAGAAGATTGTTTTTTGTGTGTAAGAAGTTATTTTTAATCTGAGAGGTTATATTCCACTAAACCCTTTGCACTGATTTTCTTGTTACATGAGTTAGATCACGTTTCCAATCTGTATAGGGCTTTTCCTGTTTGGTGTTCATGCAATAAATAAATCTGCTGATGTGTATATGTTTCCTTGTTCTTGACCTTTGCTCTTCACATGTCTTAATAGGGTGTCATGGTGTTGTGTAACCTGTTCTCAGGGCTCAGGTATCTGTTTGTGGCTAAGTAACTTTTATTCTTAGTTAGGCATTTTTATCTGTACTTTAAAATGACTAATGACTCCCAGCTTGTTTTAAGGTTCTTAGAAACCACGAGTTTTTAGAAATATAAATATCTCATTATCTTCTAAAGCAGAGTTTTCCCAAATGTTATTAAATTATTCCTTTTTTTAAATATATTTTATTGATTTTTTACAGAGAGGAAGGGAAAGGGATAGAGAGTTAGAAACATCGATGAGAGGGAAACATCAATCAGCTGCCTCCTGCATACTCCCTACTGGGGATGTGCCCGCAACCAAGGTACATGCCCTTGACCAGAATCGAACCTGGGACCCCTCAGTCTTCAAGCTGACGCTCTATCCACTGAGCCAAACTGGTCAGGGCTAAATTATTTCTTTTGGGACAAATTTTATACCAGTAAATAGGTGCCATTCTCTCTCTCTCTCTCTCTCTCTCTCTCTCTCTCTCTCTCTCTAAGATTAATCTACAACCCTCCCCCCCTTTTTTTTAAGAGAGGTAGTGAGAAGGGAGAGAGAAACATTGATGTGAGGATGAGAGAGACACATCCATCAGTTGCCTCCCGCACGTGGCAGACCTGACCCAGCATTGAACTTGAGATCCTCCAGTACATGGGAGGATGCTCCAACTAACTGAGCCACCTAGCCAGGTTCTCTCTTGAATTCTTGAACTCCACACTCGCCTCTGTTTTTCTGACACAGTTATGGCCCACCTCACCCTTTTCCTACATCACTGCCTGCTTTTCTACGAAAGGCTTTCCTCCTTTTCTCCCAGTTCTATATTTTGAGAACCCTGCCATTGATTCCCATCCCTATGCACCACTGCCTTTGTACCTTTTTCCACTCAGCCTGAACTTCTGATCACCTTACCTCACCTTAGTCTCTCTTACTAGTACTCTCAATTTCCTGTTCCCTTGTCTTTCATTAGGTCCTGTTCTGGAAGTCCATAATCCTCCTTCACTCAGTGTTCTCTAAAGTTAAGCACTGTTGGAGAGTGAGGGTGGGGAGGAGTAGGGGAGATTGGAAATCAGTGCAGATTGGTACTGCTAAATGCTTTTCAACTCCGGCCAAGCACTTGACTCTTCTTTTAAGTTGATCTTTTCCTGCACAGTGGCTATTTTAATCCTCACTCTGCTCCTCAGAATTTCTCTACACCCCTTCTTCGCTTTTGGAGTCAGATTCCTGCCACCTCCACTATACGTACTTGGCCCGCCTTTCTTGTAATCTTAGAGGACCCGAAGTGCTCTCAGCCCAGTCTCCTCTTGAAACTTTGCCCCTTTTGGTTAACTCCTTCCTTCTCTTTCTCTCTCATCTTTAACCTCTCCCTTTCCATTAGCTCCTTCCCTTCAGTTTATCAACATACTCTAAGCTTCACCTTTCCTTAAAAAGAAGATCTCATTTCCCTCATTCCATCTCACACTTTTTAAAAAACATTTTTATTGATTTCAGAGAGGAAGGGAGTGGGGGAGAGATAGAAACATCAATGATGAGAGAATCATTCATCAGCTGCCTCCTGCCAACTCCTACTGAAGAATGTGCCTGCAACTCGGGCATGTACCTTGACCAGGAATCGAACTGTGACCTCTGGTTCATAGGTTGACACTCAACCAGTGAGTCACACCAACGGGGCTCATCTCAAACTTTTTTTTTTTAAATATGTTTTATTGATTTTTTACAGAGAGAAAGGGAGAGAGATAGAGAGTTAGAAACATCGATGAGAGAGAAACATCGATCAGCTGCCTCCTGCACATCTCCCACCGGGGATGTGCCCGCAACCCAGGCACATGCCCTTGACTGGAATCGAACCCGGGACCTCTCAGTCCGCAGGCCGACGCTCTATCCACTGAGCCAAACCGGCCTCGGCGTCAAACTTTTTGAAAGAGGAATTTCTCCTCACTGCCTCCACCTATTCTCCTGCCCCATTCACTTAAAAAAATTTTTTTTTATTGATTTCAGAGAGGAAGGGAGAGAGAGAGGGAGAGGGAGATAGAAACATCAATGATGAGCCTGCAACCTGGGCATGTGCCCTTGACTGAAATTGAACCCGGGACCCTTCAGTCTGCAGGCTGGTGCTCTATACACTTAGCCAAACCGGTTAAGGTCCATTCACTTGTTAATACAGCAACTAGGTATTAAATACTTATTTTGTGCATTGTATCTCAGTTGATCTTTTTTTAAAATATATATATATATTTTGTATTGATTTCAGAGAGGAAGGGAGTGGGAGAGAGAGATAGAAACATCAGTAATGAGAGAGAATCATTGATCGGCTGTCTCCTGCATGCTCCACACAGGGGATCGAGCCCACAACCCGGGCATGTGCCCTGACTGGGAATCAAACTGTGACCTGGTTTATTGGTGGATGCTCAACCACTGAGCCACGCTGGCCAGGCTCATTTGATCTTTATAGCACCCTGAAAGATTTTGCAGAAGAAACTTGTAACTCATTCAAGATCACACAGTTAATGAATCGTGTAGATAGGCTCTGCTGTACTTTAAGTACTGGCCTTAGTCTGTCCTGTATTACTGCGCCACTGCAGGCTGCTCATGCTCTCAACAATTGTCTTCTTGTTGCCAAAGCCGGGTGTGACATTTCTGCAGCTGTCTATGATGGGGCTAACTTCTTTGCTTTCTAGTTTTTTCACTGTCTCTTCTAGTTCTACCTTCTACCCTTCTGGAGTCTGTTGGTTCTTCCACCCCTATCTGTCCCTTAAAGACCATCTCAAGTGATGGTCTTTCAGCTTACAAACTTCCAGTGACTCTCCACCCACATGTATGGGGTGGCCACATAATTTAACACCTAACTCAGGACCTTTTGCGAGTGAAACTGGGAATTATAATCACCCTGACTATGCAAGTCAAGTTCAAGATGACATATTGATGAAACCATTCTGGAGGGTGTGTACAAATGGGAGAAACAAATTTTGAGATTAAGATAGCAGTTTAGGAATGTGACATAAGGTTCTTGACTAGGTGATTCTCCTGTGGGAATCAAAGAAAGTTTGAGTCTTCTCCATAGAAATTGATAGAATTGGGGAATAATTGGATGTGGATATGAGGAAGAAGGATTATACATCAGAGTCATGAGCTGAAGTAACTGAAAAATGGGATATAATACTTTAAGCAAATTTTAACCGTTAAAACTATATGTTGCCATAGCTGGTTTTGCTCAGTGGATAGAGCCTTGGCTCAAGGACTGAAAGGTTGTGGGTTCAGTTCAGGTCAAGGGCACGTACCTCGGTTGTAGGCTGATTGTAGGCCCTGGTCAGGGCACATGCAGGAGGCAACCTATCAATGTGTCTCTCCACCTTGATGTTTCTCTCTGTCTCTCCACCTCCCTTCCACTCTAAAAATCAATGGAAAAATATCCTCGGGTGAGGATTAACAACAACAAAAAGTCAGAAAAATATGTTGTTTTTTTTCTTTAGAGAAAGGGCCTGGAAGTGGAGGTCAGAAAGACCCAGGTTTGAAACTTAGAGGTGCCAATCACTAATAGTTGAGTTATAGTTATTTTAGCATCAGTTTCTTCTTCTGTAAAATGGGAACAGTAATATATCTACTTTGAAAGGTTGTTAGGGTGGTTAGTGGTGACCTAGTACTGTGGGCCATATAGAAGAAGAAATAATAATAGCAGCTAATACTGAATGCTTACTCCATGCAAGATGTAGTGTAGAAATTTGTTTGCTTTGTGTGTAGTAATTTATTTAATTTTCACAACCACCATCTCAGGTAGCTACTGTTATCTCCATTTTACAGGTAGGTAGTAAGTGGTCAAGTCCTGGCTCCAGAGCTCTTGCTCTTAACTGCTAGACCATATGCTCAATAAATGGTAGCTGTTTTTGTTTGTTTTGCTGTTTTTATTAAGTTGAAAGGTTGAGTCAGTGTTCTTTCTTATGTCCATATACATAGGTAGCAAGCATGACCAAATACCTAAATTTGTCTGAGACTGTTTATCACTCTGGCTCCTGCCTCACTGATTAGCACCCATTGATTTTTACTCTGCTTGCAGGTCCCTAACCCAATCATATCATCTGACAATATCTGACTTTTTGCTCTCCCCTTTCAGTTTCACACATTTGTATAACTTATGAAGTGATCATCCCGATAAATCTATGATTCTCTTTGAAAAACATATATGAAATACCTAAAAAAAAGATAAGCCACTTGTATATATTTTCTCTGACTACAAGTTTAAATTTCTAAATGACCTAAAATGATAATAGTAGAATGAGGTGTAATTTTCAACTTGAGTAAAACAAGAACTAAGATATTAGATTGTTGTATATTAGTATATAGGGTGTCCCCCAAAATGCATATACACACATTGAATAATTATAAAGGCAATATTTATTAAAATACATTTCATTTACAAAATTGAGCTTTCAGCTGTTAAAGCGTGTATACGTTTTTTGGGATACCCTGAATATATTGCTGTTGTGGATCTCATTCTTGTGATACTGACACATGAAGCTTCATAATTTGCCAGTCACTGTCTTAATCAGGAATCAACTGATTGCAGGAACAAAATTCTGCTCATGCTAGTAAGGTAAGGAGGGTAAGGAAAGTTTTACTGATGATCGAGAAGGCCTAGCTTGAGAAGATAAGATTTTTTTTTTAAACATTCAGTAATATGATTAAAATTTGAAAAGTGTAAGTAAAAGATAAACACAGAAATTTACCATCTGGTACCACTTCAAAAGACCAAAAGAAATAGAAAAGGGTTTTTTATTCCATTAGGTATAATCTGACTTTGAAACTTATTTTATCATAAATTTTCTTCTCTTCTTTCTCTTCTTTCTCTTCTTCCTGCTCTTCCAGCCCCCACTCCATCATTTTTGGTAAATACTATTCCATAGGTCATGTGTACTATAATTAATTTAATTTGAACATAGATTATTTCTAAATTTTTCTTATATAACACTTTGATGCACATCTTTATATATAAACTTTTCCATATTTAGAACTATTTCTTTTTTTAATAATGTTTTTATTGATTTTATGTTTGAGAGAGGAAAAAAAATTGATGGGTTGTCCATTGCACACCCCCTACTGCGGATCAAGCTTGTACCCTGGGCATGTGCCCTGACTGGTAATCCAGCTGGCAACCTCTCCATGCATGGGAAGATGCTCAACCAACTGAGCCACATTGTCCAGAGCTAGGACAATTTCTGAAAGTAGAATTCTTAGGTCAAGTGGTATCAACAGATTTATTATTGCCAAATTGGTTTTGGGAAAGATTTGTAGAAATTTATACTGCCACTAACAATGCCTCTTTTACCACACTTTTTCTAGTCCTGGCTGTTATATTTCTATTTTTATGTTGATAACTTTTTTCTTCTTCTTTGTGTTAGTTCCTTTGATGGGCAAAAAAATAGTCTCTACTTAGTATTTTAATAGCATTTTTATGCATCAGTATAGATCAGGTTAGATCAGCTTGGATAAGAGTGTTTAATTCTTTGTGGTAAGATTGTTGTAGGGTTATTTACTCAGAGTTCGTTAATATTGTTGTTTAATGTATATTGGCATTTAATGTTGTCTACTAAATTCAAACATGTTTTTTTCCAGACCCTGTAAGATTTGGATATGTCCTTCATATTTGACTGGATTTATAGTGGTTTCAGCAGTGTGCTACAGTTTTTAGGTAATGTTGGCTCTTTATTCTCTATTGTTATCCATTTAAGTCTACTTATATAAAAGTGCTTATTTGTCTAGAGCCTCTTTATATATATACCCAGTAGTTAAGAATGTGATCTTTGAAATTGTAAAAAACAGCCCTAGCTGGTTTGGCTCAGTGAATAAAGGGTCGGCCTGTGGACTGAAGGGTCCCAGGTTCGATTCCGGCCAAGGGCACATGCCTGGGGTTGCGGGCTTGATCCCCAGTGGGGGGCGTGCAGGAAGTGGCTGATCAGTGATTCTCTCTCTCATCATTGATGTTTCTATCTCTCTTTCCCTCTCCCTTCCTCTCTGAAATCAATAAAAATATATTTAAAAAAAGAAGTTGTAAAAAATAGTTTAATGACTGACTGTAGCTCTTATAAATTATGTAATGTTAGGCAAATTACTTTACCCAATTTAGCCTTAGTTTCCTTATCTGTAAAATAATAATTTCTACTCCTTAAAGTGGTTAATAGGAATATTACAGGATGGGGCAAAAGTAGGTTTATAATTGTGCATATAGAAAATAATACAGCAATTAATAAATAATAGACCTGACTGGGTAGTTCAGTTGGTTAGAGTGTCATGCCGATACATCAAGGTTGCGCTGGTTCAGTCCCTGGTTAGGGCATATACAAGAATCAACCAATGAATGCATACATAAATGGGACAATAAGAATTGATGTTTCCTTTTCTCTCTCTCTCTCTCTCTCTCTCTCTCAAATCAATCAATAAAAAATTTAATAAAAAAATGCCCTTGCCTGTAGCTCAGTTGGTTAGAGTGTCATCCCAATACACCGAGGTTGCAGGTTCGACCTCTGTTCAAGAATCAACCAATGAATGCAATAAATCGATGTTTATTAAAAATAATTTAGTCCAACCCACTGTACAGATTAAAGTTTAAATGTTCTTGGTGTTCCATTTTGGAATCTTATCCTATATACTTTTGCTATTTAAGGATGGTAAGATTGATTGCATTGGTTAGAAACAATCCATGTAGAAACCTTTTTAAAAAAATAATATGTTTTACCCTGGCCGGTTTGGCTCAGTGGATAGAACGTTGGCCTGCAGACCAAAGGATCCTGGGTTCAATTCCAGTCAAGGGCTCATACCTTGATTGTAGGCTTCTTCCTGGCCCGGGCTCTGGTCAGGACTTGTGCAGGAGGCAACCAGTCAATGTGTTTCTGTCTTTCCCTTTCTCTCTTTCTTCCGCTCTCCCTAACAATCAATGGGAAAATATCCTCCAGTGAGGATTAACAATAAAAAATGTTTTTATTGCTTTTAGAGAGAGAGAGGGAGAGAGATAGAAATATCTATGAGAGAGAAACATCAATTGGCTCTCTCTTGCACGCCCCCTACTGGGGATCAAACCAGCAACCTGGGCATGTGCCCTCATTGGTTATGGAACTGGTGACCTCTTGGTGCATGGGACAATGTTCAGCCAACTGAATCACACTGGTCAGGCTGTAGAAACCTTTTAAGAAATAAAAATGTTTAAAGAGGTTACTTGTCAGAATTCATAAAGATCAAATGTCTTATCCCAGCTCAAGTAAATATGGAAGATAATCTTCCCCTAAGGATCCGAATTGTTAGTTGACCTATGAATCAGGAGGTCACGGTTCAATTCCTGGTTGGAGCAGATGCCCAGGTTGTGGGCTCCATCCCTAGTGTGGGGCATGCAAGAGGCAGCCAATCAATGATTCTCATCATTGATGTCTCTATTTCTCTCTCCTTCTCCCTTTCTCTCTCTGAATAAAAATAAATAAAAATATATTTTAACAAAGAAAAAGAGGATATCTTTTTAGTGGGTGATGTCGATAATGGGGGAGATTATATGTGTGTGGAAACAGGGGACACATGGGAAATCTCTGCCTTTCTGTCAGTTTTGTTGTAAATCTAAAGCAGCTGTTAAAAAAAATCTTTAAAGAAAAATAATAAGGCTCAATATGGAATTTTGCAGTAAATGCCAGTCTATAATTTGGTCAATGCTGTCTTTTTTTCTGTTTATTTATGATTTTATCAATGCTTGGTTATACATCTAAAATTATGTGTTTTATTTCGTTTTTATTGCTTAGTTTTATGCAATCCTGTAAAGCTTAATTTTATTCTCAGGGAAATTCGACAGTGAGAAAAACTTACTGAAAAACTTACTGTAAATTTTTGTTTGTTTGTTAAACCTCACCTAAGGATATTTTTTCCATTGATTTTAGAGAGAGTGAGAGGCAGAGGAAGAGAGAGAGAGGAAACATGGATGTGAGAAAGACATCAATTGGTTGCCTCCCACATGTGCCTGAGCAGGACCCAGGATGGAATCTGCAACCCAGATACGTGCCCTTGATCAGGAATCAAACCTGCAGCTCTTCAGTGTTCAGGCTGACTGCTCCAACCTGAGCAATTGGCCAGGGCCTTGCTGTAATTTTTATTGTCAAAAATACTTAATTTATTTTCATCCAGTAAATTTTCTTTATTTTTTCTTTTGGTCTATCTTCATAAATACATGATTTCAATAATTTTGTGAGTGAGAAGACACATATATTTACCCCCAAATTGTCAAGGGGACGGATTTTGGCATTACAGATAAGTTTAGATAACACACACATTCTTTGATAGGGGTGAAGTTTAGTTTAGTAATGATTTGACTTCCCAAATTATAATATATTTAAAATAGCTCTTCAAAACTAAAAATAAGTTAGAGTCCCAAGCTTATTCAGGCCAGTTTATAAAGTCTAAAAGTTCAAAAGGTTAATAGGTGTTTCTTTATTAAAAAACCAGAGTAATTAAGAAAAGTATCTAAATAAACTGTTAATATATTTTGTTGAAGGTCATTTTATTTGGATAATCTGTGTCAGATATTACTTTGATTAATCAAAGCTTTCTCTGTAGGATTATATAAGAAAACTGGTAAATTGGTATTTCTTGGATTGGATAATGCAGGAAAAACAACATTGCTACACATGCTAAAAGATGACAGACTTGGACAACATGTCCCAACGTTACATCCCAGTAAGTATATTCCCCCATACATTGTTACTGTTATTACTTTATCTAGTGATACTGATTCATAGGCGCTAACTGAAAGGTTTTCTTTGTTTGGTGATTTTTTGTATGGATAAATTATAATCAGGTGATTTGACCTGTTCTTAAATAGTAAATAATAGGTGACCCAACTACCAGGACTATGTTTAGGTCTTGAAATAATACTCAGATCTTCTTATCAGTTAGTACACTCTTCTCCAGCTAAAACAATTAAAAAGTTACCGTTTCAGTGATTATGACATGATTAAGGTCTATCCAACCAGATATTACTTAGGCTATATAAGTCACTATAACATTGTTTACATACATAAATTTCTTTCAGATTTTAAAGCTGTGCTATTTTAATCATTATTCAGTGGACAGATTGTAGTTGTTTTCTTTTCTTTCCAGATTACACTCTTATACTTTACTGGTGACTCCATTTATTAACCAGTTATTTTTCTAGTCCTAACAACTTCAACAATACCTAATATAAAGATCATAGAATTATTCCAAAAAAGAAGCCATGTACTGATACACTTATGGACAGTTTTAAAATAATTTACCGTGCTTTCTTTAAGAAAGACTTCCTGAAAGACATTAAGAATAACTTAATACATACCATCATATATATATGGTTATGTAATAGGTACCTTTTGAAAAACTAAAGTTAAAGTAACAGTTATTACAAAGAAGCCTAACATATAAGTAATTGGAATCTCACTTTTACTATTGAAAAGACTGAGTTAAGTAGACACAGAATTTAAAGACAAGTTAATCCACAGATTGATTATGAAATAATGAATGTGGCCTTAAATAATGAGTATAAAATTGAGAACTGCACCAAAAAGTAGGTAATATGATAGTTATTTAGTTCAGTAAATAAAGTACCTGGAAGGAGAACAGAACAAAGTAAAGATTTTATCTATGAAACTATTAGTGGTGTTGAAAAAGGAAGATTTTATAAAATAGACAAATCTTTTATATTATGAGAAGAGAGTGGGACTTGGCAAATAAGATTCTGATACAAGAACAATACTGTGCAATTGAGTTTATAAAATTGTCTGCAAAAACAACAGAATTAGAAGAGACTACAGAGTGGCCTTATATTGTGTATAAGTCATGTTTTAATTTTTTGATGTTGCTCTCTTTTACCTATTCAACAAATATTTATTGAGCACCTACTTTATGCCAGACATTATTCTAAGTAGTAGGAGTATAAGTAGTGGCACAAACAATTGCTATCTCAACCTTTCTGCAGCTCAAGTCACCAAGTCAATTTATATTTTTTCAGTTAATCAAAAGCAGATGTGAAAAAAGTAACATATATATTCTACCCTATGATCTGGCAGTTCCACTATTAGGTATTTATTTAAGAGAAATAAGAACATATGTTCACCAAAATCATTGTACAAGAATGCTTATACTAGCTTTATTTGTAATAACCAAAAATTGGAAACAGCTCAGATATTCATCAAAAAAAGAATGGGCCCAGCTGGCATGGCTCAGTGGTTGAGTGTCGACTTATGAACGAGGAGATCATGTTTGGATTCCTGGTCAGGGCACATGCCCAGGTTGTGGGCTCGATCTCCAGTGTGGGGTGTGCAGGAGGCAGACAATCAATGATTCTCATCATTAGTGTTTCTGTCTTTCTCTCCTTCTCCCTTCTCTCTGAAATCAATAAAAAAATATTTTAAAAATATAATGGGTAAACAATGGACTTCTACTGAACAAGAAAGGGAATAAACTGATATATACAGATGCATATTATACTGCATGGGAGAAGCTGGTCATAAAAAAATTACATACCATATGACACTATTTATGTGAAATTCTAGAACAGGCAAAACTGACCTGTGGTGACAGAATTCAGATCAGTTTTTTTCTGTGGAGGTGGAGGTGGGGACTGACTGGGAGGGGGCTAGAGGAAATTTCCTGGGATATCAACAGTGTTCTGTGTCTTAAATTAATCAAACTGGGACTTCTTTAATAAAGCAGGGAATATAACCATAGAGGTAGTTTTCCAACTACATCCAACCATTATCTTTTCCTTATGGAAAGGAACACACTTTGATCACAAATTGCAGTAATTATTTATTCGATTGGCACTGGACGTACAGAATTTTTAACAAGATAAACTACTCCGGAGCCTTAGCAGTTATACTGAATAGTAAACAATCACGCTGAACCTTTCATTGTAATTGTAGGTGACTTCTGCTTTTGTCCACGAGGAGTAACAGAGTCTGGAATTACATTCCCATTGTAAACAACTTAGAAAACTGGACAAAAATATATACTACAACTGTTTTTCAGATATTGGGCAATAGCTAGCACATGACTATGATTCCTGAGAGAAGGAAAAGAAACCCTTCTTTATTTAAGCTTTTTCACAGGAGATAATTTTCAGACCATGGGGCAGAGAGATGAAACCCAGACATAACCCAGTAGTCTCGGAGGGTTGAGGAGACAGAGCCCAGAATTCGGAGAGGCACAGGTGACTAGAATTTGCTGGGCAAGAGTACCAGAGAGGAATGAGCTTTGCAGAGAAACAACTCCAGGCATTTTTGTGGCTGAATACCAGTCTGTGCGCGCATAGCGTAAAACTCCACCAAGCCAGTCAGAGAACAGTTTCTGGAGGAGGGACTGTAGCAGATCTGTTAGCCAAATAGTTCCAAGTGCTTACACGGCACCGGGAATCATTCATGTTCCCATCAGCCGGAATGGGGAGATTTGGTTGAATACACAGGGCATTTGATAGAAACTCCAAAAGGGTCCTACCTTAATAATGGATTAAAGTGGCCTCAAAGTAAAGGCTACTTTAAATCTTCCCTAACAAAGCATAAAAACTGATCTGCAGTCAACTGCCTGCCAGAGCAAAGTCCACTTTCTTCAAAAGAATACAACAAAATCCACCATCTAATAAAAAGATTACTAGAGCCCTGGCTGGTGTGGCTCAGTTGGTTGGAGCATTGTCCCTTACACCAAAGGGTTGTGGGTTGGATTCCCCATCAGGGCATATACCTGGGTTTCATGTTTAATGCCCGTCTGGGTGTGTGTGTGTGGGTATTGCAGCCCATCGATGTTTCTCTCATGTCAATATTTCTCTCTCCCCCTTAACCTCTTTCTAAAAAATCAGTGAAGGTATCCTTGGGTGAGGATAAAAGTAAAAAACGACTAGACATGCAAAGAAGCAGGAAAATATAATCCATAACCAGGAGAAAAATCAATCAGTAGAAACAGGCCCAGAGTTGACAAAGGTGATAGAATTAGCAGATAAGAAAGTTAAAACAGCTGTTATGAATATGCTCAAGGATTTAAGGAAAACATGAACATAATGCGAGAAATGGAAGATATAAACGAATCAAATGGTCATGGCTGGTTTGGCTCAGTGGATAGAGTGTCGGCCTGCAGGCTAAGGGTCCAGGGTTCGATTCCAGTCAAAGGGCACATGCCCAGGTTGCGGGCTCGATCCCCAGTAGGGGGTGTGCAGGAGGCAGCTGATCAATGATTCTCTCTCATCATTGATGTTTCTATCTCCCTTTCTCTTCCTCTCTGAAATCAATAAAAAAATATATACATATATATTTTAAAAGAACCAAATGGAACTTCTAGAAATAAAAATAGAGTATCTGAGCCGAAACCGGTTTGGCTCAGTGGATAGAGCGTCGGCCTGCGGACTGAAGGGTCCCGGGTTCGGTTCCGATCAGGGGCATGTACCTGGGTTGCGGGCACATCCCCGGTGGGAGATGTGCAGGAGGCAGCTGATCGATGTTTCTCTCTCATCGATGTTTCTGACTTTCTATCTCTCTCCCTTCCTCTCTGTGAAAAATCAATAAAATATATTAAAAAAAAAAATAGAGTATCTGAAATGAAATTTTCACTGGATAGGCTTAATAGCAAATTAGACAGTGCCAGTAGTGCAGAAAGAAAGACCAGTGAACCTAAGTCAATGCAGTATAAACTATAAAATGAAGCACAGAGGAAAAAATGACTGAAAAACAAGGAACAGAGCCTCAGTGACTTCTGGGACAATATTAAGCTGTTTAGGAGACCTATAATTGAAGTCCCAGAAGGGGAAGGTAGGGAGCAGAAAACATATTTGAAGAAATAATGGACAAATTTTTTTTATTATATTTGTGTTTGTCATTAAAGACTGTCTCATATAAAATTTGACAGCCATAGAGAAAATTGTTTGTTTCACCTGTATCATTTAAGCTGACTTGCAGGAAATTATTAGGTTGGAAGAATTCACAAAAAATAATTGCTTGGATAGGTTAACATTTTAGCAGGAGAAATAGAGAAGGAAAAATAAATAAGTGATGGATTTGTGGTGGGTAGAATTGAATACTACCATTATTTATGTTATACCGTCAATATGCATTGGAATATATCTAATTACAATAAAGAATTATTTTATCAGTTCCTAAATGTTTGACTTTTTTTCAGTTAAAGCAAATCAAAATTAGCAATATATACCATGAATGGATTTCTGATTTTCATGTTGTAAAAATACTTTTTATTATTGTTTAGCTTCAGAAGAACTAACCATTGCTGGCATGACCTTTACAACGTTTGATCTGGGAGGACATGTTCAAGGTACGATTCTATTACTCCTGTGGAAGCTTTATTTTAACTTAATAAAAACATGACCATTATGTTCCAGTGCATGAAATCTCATTCTACTCAAGGAAAGCCAGAGTAGACTTAAAATTTAGGAATTATTACCCCTAGATAAATGCTTTAAAAGCAAAGGGTGATTTTTATGATACTCCTGATCAATTGAAGTTTGAATTGCTTTTGGTGGTAAAGCAAATGAGTAAAATTGAGCCTCCATTTTCTCTCTGCCCTAATCCATCTCTCACTTATTGTCATAATCATGTTATGAATATGTTACTGCTTTGTATGAAAAGCCTTCAGTGGGCTAACTCATTACTTATAAATTAAAGGCCAAACTTGTTGATCTGGCATTTGGGATTTCTATGATCTGGTTCCAGTTTACTTTTCAAGTCTTTATTTCCCAATGTTCCCCTTCCCATTCTCTTTATTCTAACCAAACCAAACCCTCTTGGTTTTCTCCCACTCTGTGCTTTTGCTCACGCCATTCCATCTGCACATGAGTGACCCACATTCAGGGCCCAGGGTGAGTGCTGCTACCTTCCCCGAGGAGCTGCTTGCAGCTGGAAGTACTCTCAACTGTACTTCCACAGCACGTAGGGCATTTGTGTACATGTCTGCAAGTTTGAAAAGACTGCCTTATCTCTTCTTCTAAACTTTCTGGGACTTAAATCTGTTCACTTTTTTTTTTATCCTGTCCATTTTTTATATTCCCAGAAGGACTTGGCAGTACCCAGCACATAGTAATTTGTAAATAAAGAATAGTACAAAGTTGGTGAGCATTCTAAAAAGCTCATATGACAGATAGTTGAAAAGATTTTAAGTGGCTGTGACTAGTGAAAGCACATTTGAGCCCTAGCTGGTTTGACTCAGTGGATAGAGCATCGGCCTGCAGACCAAAGGCTCCCAGATTCGATTCCCGTCAAGGGCATGTACCTTGGTTGCAGGCTCCTCCCTGGCCCCAGCCCTGGCCAGGGTGCGTGCAGGAGGTAACCAATCTATGTGTTTCTCTGACATCGATATTTCTCTCTGTCTTTCCCTCTCTCTTCCACTCCCTCTAAAAATAATCAATGGAAAAATATCCTTGGGTGAGGATTAAAAAAAGAAAGAAATCACATTTGAGACATAATTGTTTGAAATACACATAAAGTAATTTCTGGAATATAATGATTAGAGAGAGTTAAAACCTAATGGAGCTCATCTGAGACTTCATTTCTATATTGTTTTTAAGATATGTCATAAAACTGAAGTCAGAGAAAAAAGGTATTTTTCTCTGGGGCATTCCAAAAACTCTTATTTAGAAAAGAATGTCATGGAAAAAAATTACCATATGTTTTTATAGACTTTAGTTTATTTCTGTTATGAGTAGAACAGTAAGTATGCTTTTATTATTTTAACTTAAGTCTGTACCTAGTACTAATTTCTTCTGCCACTGATTCCAAATTTATCCCCAGCAAAAAAATAAAACAAAAAAACTGATAAACTAGAAATGTAAAAAAATGAATACTGCATATGAAAATAGTAGTTCTCCAATGAACTTAACAAGCATCATTATCTATCATTGGTAGCAGATATGAATACTACTTATAAAACATGGGAAAATTGGGGCAAAGTATTGACTTGCCCACAATCAAGGAAAGCCTGAAATTTCTTCTGGAAAGATTTGGCAACACTAGGTAAAAGATTAACTTGAGTATATATGGAGTAGCAGCAGCTAAGGGGTAATTACACTTGATATCTTATTGGACTCTCATCAAACAATCTTCTAGGTTTGACCAGCAAATAAAATCTAACTTCTGATTGTTTTTGTTAGCTCGAAGAGTGTGGAAAAACTACCTTCCTGCTATCAATGGCATTGTATTTCTGGTGGATTGTGCAGACCATGAAAGGCTGTTAGAATCAAAAGAAGAACTTGATGTAAGTTAAATAATTAAAACTAAACAGTTGAATTACTAGTAAGCCTGAGGAAATAGGTTGGAGATCTAGGTATTAGAATGCAGCTTTTCTGTAGTCTCTGATGTAACTCCAGGTAATTTGTGGAGCTCAGCGATTATTTAGAATGCAGAGGGAGTAGCTATTGAGGAAGTACTAACGCAGACTTCCTTCCTGAAGACTTGAGCTCACTCTGGGCAGTGTGTCCTTGTAGTATATCTCATGTTTGCTACATTCCTGGAGTGGCTTGGTCTTGAATCCCCCATCATCCTCGGCTGCCAGTTTCTGAGGGAGTTGGCCAGAACCTGGAAATGGTATAACATACCATCTTTGTCACCACTCCCAGGAATGAGCAGGGCCATGGGTAGCTACTTCCCTTCACCTCCCCTAGATCAGATGCTTCTTAAAGGGGCTCAGGAGTAGCAAGCAAGGCCAGTGCTAGATCTGGGGCCCCAGAGAGAGAGGTCCATGATTTGAAGGTTGGATGCCTACGCCTCTGCCCAGAACAGGCAAGGAAATACTTGTTCATGTGAAAAAGTCCATTTAGGTTCTGTGGTCATGCAACAGGGTTAGGGAATTACTGAGTTCCTACCTTATGCCACACTATACATATCACCTCATTAAATTCTCAAATCCACTCCATAACGTAGGTGCTACTACTCCATTTTCTATGAACTTCAGCGAGACCTATTTGTCCAAGATCTCACAGCTTGGAAGCTGCAGAACTGGAAATGAAATCAGTCTGCCCATTTCCAAGGCGTTGGCTCTGGTTGCTGTACCTCACTGATTCACAGAGTGAGCAGTGTGAGCGTCACAGAAGGAGCCTTAGGAAGACAGGATTCAGGTGAAGGGTTCATTGAGCTCACTTAAAATTGAGGAAAAGTTTGCCAAAGAAAGTTAGCAAAACTGACGTGTTATGACAGGGAACAAGTCCTTGATACCCATTTGGTATCTTGTCAAAATAAGCCCTTCGGATGGTTTTATATCAACATCTGTGTTTCATTTTGCTTTCATATTTTTTTCAGTCACTAATGACAGATGAAACCATTGCTAATGTGCCTATACTGATTTTTGGGAATAAGATCGACAGACCTGAAGCCATCAGTGAAGAGAGATTACGAGAGATGTTTGGTTTATATGGTCAGACAACAGGAAAGGTAAAAAAAAAATGTTTGACAAGTATGAATACTTCATTCAACAGTATATTTTTATGTTCTGAAATAGTTTATTTCAACACTACCCCTAACAGTAATCATGTTACCAGCCTAATTGGTACAATCTGGATCCTTTTTTTTTAAAAAAAAATTAAGGTATAATTGACATATAACATTTTACTACTTTCATGTGTACAACGAAATGTCTTTTTACATTACTATCATCCAACTACTCAAGCCCTTCATTTTTTTTTTCCTTAAAAACTAGCATTTACTCAACATCACTAATCATCAGGGAAATACAAATCAAAACCACATTGAAGCAGGCTTGGGGGGGGTCAATGGGGGAAAAAAGGGGGACATATGTAATACTTTCAACAAAAAAGAATTATAAAAAAACAAAACACATTGAACACTAGTCAGAATGGCTGTTATAAAAAAGTTATCAAATGTATTGGCAAGGATGTGGAGAAAAGGGAACCCTTGGCACTGTTGGTTGGGTTTTAAATTGGTGTAGTTGCTGTTGAAAACAGTATAGAGTTTCCTCAAAATATTAAAAATAGAACTACAATATGACCCAGCAGTTCCACCCCTGGGTATTTATCTGAAGAAATTGAAAATATTAATTTGAAAAGATATACGCACCCCTATTTTCAGTGCAGCATTGTTTACAATAGCCAAGAGATAGAAGCAACGTAGGTGTTTGTCCATAGGTGAGTAGATAAAGGAGGTGTGTGTGTGTGTGTGTGTGAGACACTAAAAAAGAAATTTTGCCATTTGCGACAACATGGATGATCCTAGAGGACATTATGCTAAATGAAATAAGTCAGACCGAGAAAGACAAATACTGTATGGTTTCACTTACATGTAGAATTTAAAATGAACAGAATAATGCAAAAACAGACTTATAGAAACAACACCAAAGGGATGGTTGCCAGAGGGGTGGAGGGTGAAGGGATGGATGAAAAAGATGAAGGGGAATATAGTCAATAATATTGTGATAAGTTTGCATGGTGACAGATGATTACTAGAATTAGTGGTGTGCCCTTGCTGGTTTGGCTCAGTGGACAGAGCAATGGCTTGCAGACTGAAGGGTTCCAGGTTCGATTCTGGTCAAGAGCACATGCCAGGGTTGCAGGCTTGATCCCCAGTAGGGGGTTTGCAGGAGACAGCCAATCAATGATTCTCTCTCATCATTGATGTTTCTATTTCTCTCTCCCTCTCCCTTCCTCTCTGAAATCATTATATTTAAAAAAAAAAAATAGAATTAGTGGGGTGATCACATTCTAGGGTATAAAAATGTTGAATCACTATATTGTACACCTGAAACTAATATAACTAATATAATATTGTATACCACCTATACTTAAATAAAAATACCTGTCATTTATACATTTTGGGATTTTTTTTTTAAATGCCCTCACTGTTTTCTTTATGCCACTGAATGTGACCTTTTCTTGGTGATAACAAAAATGTCAAAGCTCATGCTTATGGGAGACTAAATCAAAGCTTTTAAAGTTTTTTTAAAAATTTAAATAGATTTTTATTGATTTCAGAGAGGAGGGGAGAGGGAGAGAGAGATAGAAACATCAGTGATGAGAGAGAATCATTGACCGGCTGCCTCCTTTATGCCTCACACTAGGGACTGAGCCTGCAACCCAGGCATGTGCCCTGACCGGGAATCGAACCATGACCTGGTTTAGAGGTTGATGCTCAACCACTGAGCCACACCAGCTGAGCTAAATAAATTTTCAAAATTAACCACCAAATAATATACTTGAATGTTTAAGCATACCAGAAGTGTATTTAGGCCCCCAGTTTAGTGTGTAGGCCCTGAGTTCACCAAAGATAAAAATAAAATGTAAACTTGGGCATAGGAGTGTTTTGGGTTTTCTGAGCACATACTTAATAAACTTTAAGATGCATTATTTTTGCATTCATTTCCAGTAGGATTTGTTCAGGAGAGGGGCCTTAGTATTAAAAAATCCCAGAGTTGGGGGCACTCTTCTAGTTGCCAGATTGGATGCTGCTAGATTCATGGACTACTTAATAAAGTCAATTAGATCTTCAAATGAAAAAAAAAAATTTCCAGAGTTTACAAACAAAATTTCCTTGGTTTACATATAATCTGACTTTAGAAATACTACAGGCTATGGAAGGAAACTCTTTTTTTTTTTAAATGTGTATTTTTATTGATTTCAGAGAGTAAGGGAGAGGGAGAGAGAGATAGAAACATCAGTGATGAGAAAGAATCATTGATTGGCTGCCTCCTGGCACGCCCCACACTGGGGATGGAGCCCGCAACCCAGGCATGTGCCCTTGGTCAGAATCGAACCCGGGACCCTTCAGTCCGCAGGCCGACGCTCTATCCACTGAGCCAAACCGGCTAGGGCTGGAAGGAAACTCTTATGTTACACAAGGTAGACTTTGGTTTGTTTCTGTATCTTTTTAATAACTCAATTACATATTAATTTTAGGAAATGCCTTGTTTAGTCATAAACCTACATAAAGAATATTCATCCTTAATGTTTGTAAAGTCAGTTGAGGTAACTTGAAATTTTTCTCAAAGATGATTTTCATTCTTGTATGCCTCACAAGCCCACCTTTTCCCATTTGGTCCTAAAGTGGCTTTATCCAGTCACCTTTTGTTCTACGATACATAAGCTATAATTCCGCTGGGGAGTGGGGCTTTTATTCTACAAAGGTTCCATCCAGCATAATGTTTGTCTTCTCTTCTAGGGCAACGTATCTCTGAAAGAACTGAATGCCCGGCCACTAGAAGTTTTTATGTGCAGTGTGCTCAAAAGGCAAGGTTATGGAGAAGGCTTCCGCTGGATGGCTCAGTACATTGACTAACACCACCAACCTGCCTCAGGTCCAGGTCTTGCCATTCAGGCCTACTCAGAGATTGATTGTTGAACATGCATAACTTGAATTCAATAGACTTTTGTTGGTTAGAAAACAGATATTTTTTAGATTATTAATACTATATCGACTTAATTTGAGTGACAATTGAAAAATGATTCAAGTAAGTTTGAATATCACAATGTTAGCTTTCTAATTCCATGAAGATAATTAGTTTTTACTGTTTGTAATCTGACATGACCCCCAGCGCCATTTATAAACAGCGACTTTTCAGCAGTACATTTGAAGCACTTTTTAACAATACGAAACTACAAATATAAACTATAATTAAAAGCTCATCATGTTAAATTTTTTTATGTACTTTTGGAACTAGTTTTTAAATTTTAGATTATATCTCCACCTATCTTAAGTATACAGTTAATAATTAGCTTATTGATGATTGCATGATGCCTTACAGGTTTCAATAATATTTTTTCTTATGCAAACGTCATGCAATAAAATAGACCCTTATGTTTGGCATCTTTGTTGGGCAAATGTTTCATTTTAATATGTCTTATCTAGCTAGTATGCTCTGAAATGGAATATTTATATTATACACATGAGGTGGTTGTTGGAAAAGGAGATTGCTTCAGAATATTTAGAATAATGTTTCAGTTCCTAGAGACTTTCGCATTTACCAGGAGACAAGTTGTGTTTGATTGTACTTTATACCACTTTATCTCTGAATCCTGTGCATTTTAATCAGGAACACTACCATTCCCAGTGCTGATAGGGTCCGTGTCCTAGTCCCTGTGGGATTGGCCTTCTAAAGAAAAGCACATCTTCTGGTACAACGCAGGTTGGATTTTGGTTTGCTAGGCCCCTTAGGTCCATTCCAGTTGTCTAATTCTCAAGTGCTCCAATCTTACTGATGCCTGGTTTGGTAATCTCTGCCTGGTCACCAAACGTAGTGACCGGCCCCAGCCTCCCCACATTTAGAGGTACTCCCCAGGCTCTTGATACGTAATGGCACTTCCCAGAGCAAGTGACAAATAGGGTCTTGTGCAGTTCATTGCAGGGACCTGTGAATCTGCAGGAAAAGAAAGCCTGTTCTGCTCCAGTTGTCATCGAAATTGTGGAGATATTGCTCCTGTCCCATAGCTCTTTTGCATTCTTTGTCATATTTTATTTCTTGGAAGGAAAGTGTATGCGCTTTTTCTTTTCCTTAGTTGCCCTCAGCCAGCTGTTACATTACAGCATAAAGGCTTTTACTTTTAGATGCAATACTTGCCATGTGATAGTGTCCGCAAACCTCACTGTTAAACTCACTAACAAAATTTTGGTTAGTTTTTAAAAACATTTTAATTTCCTAAGACATTGAGTGATTTTTTTTCCATTTGAGGTTCCCCTAATTAGTAAAATAAGATAAAAGATAAGTGCCAAATATATATATTTAAAGACTCTCAAGCTTAAGATTTCTCTCTTGGTTATAAACCAAGATTTTATAGTATATTTAACCAATTCCATTGAAAATAGATTGCTCTGGCTCCATCAAGAATAATTTACATTAAAAAAAGAGAATAATTTAAATATTAAAATTAGTGTTTTCTCTAGCTGTTGTCCAAATCAGTCACCACAGCCTTTCATCGGTAATGTTAACACATGAGGCAGGTAAGGATGAGGAGTATGACTGGAAGGAACTACCAGTGAGCTAAACCAACAAGGCCATTTCTTAACATAACATTGGGTTTTAGTGATTTGGCTGTTCTATTTCACTTTCAGCTTCCTTCCAAATGAAAATAAAAGCTTCTTCCCTGCTTAGAAACATCAGTAGTACCATGGGAAAAGTAGAAAATAACATTTCTGCCTGTTGGTTTATTTTGCCAGTTGGTTAAAGTCCTCACTTCTGACGGCATGCCTAACAGAACTGAGCCTTATTAAAAGTAACTGCCTCTTGTTGATGGTAGCTTTCTTCAGTTCAAGTATTCCCTAATATCTAGTGTGATACTTGGGAAGTTAATTATTTGTCTCATAAGTTGGTATAAAGAAAAAAGCTTATTGGTTTCTCTAAAGGGGAAAAATGGTTTTTTTGGTACACAATATCTCGTTCCAGAATTCTTATTCTAGTTCTGACACTGGGATCAAAGAAACAAAGTCACTTTGTGGACCACGTCTAAACTGTGGATATTTTCCCAATGACGTAAGATTCCTGTGGCCTGAACCTCTAGAAAGAAGCTGCACTTAGCAGCAACCGGCTGCCTTCCCAGTGCCAGGGACGTGGGCTGCAGAGTTCCCCAGCCACTGGGCATACTCCAGCTCTGAGAGCTCCTTGGAGCACACACACCGAGTCCCTGCTCCCTTCAAGAGATGGCAAGAAGCAGTAGAAGCACTTGCAGAAAACGTATACCCTGTATGTGCCTGCGTGAGTGTGTGCACCTGGGGAGTATGTTGCGTGTAAATGGTCCTATTAAGAATATAGATTAACTTTGCATCTCTCACTGTAAGGTATGAAAATGTAATTGTTAACACTGTTATATACAAGTTAAGATTCGGTTCCATATAAATCAGGATGTCCAAAAGGTGTTTTAAAATCTTAATTCCAAAACTCTAAAAATACAAAGTGTTAGCCCACTTTTATATTTCTAAAGAGATTCTTTAACCCCATACCTACTTCAATGACTGTTGTTAGTTATACTTTTGGGTGACTGGTTAAATTGATAGATTTCAGCTTATCTTTATATTAGTGAATTTTTATTTCTGTTATTTTTATCTCAGTGAATTTTTTGAATGGAGAATACAGCATTTTTTAAATTGGGGCATAGACATTTCCTAAAGTACAGTAGTGCCACCTTATCCACAGGAGAGAAGTTCCAAGACCCCCAGTGGATGCCTGAAATCCCAGGTAGTCCTGAGCCATATATACTATGCTTTGTCCTATATATACATACATTTTCACTTTAAGGAAACACTTTATGGCTTCTCTTTGGCATATCTGAAATGCCAGCATCGTTACTCTTGTGCTTTGGGCTCATTATTAAGTAAAATAAGGGTTCCTTGAACATAAGCACTGTGATACATAGTCAAGCCAGCTACTAAGAGACTAATGACTAACAGGCAGGTAGTGTATGCAGAGTGATACACTGGACAAAGAATGATTCATGTCTTGGGTGGAACAGAGCGGGATGACATGAGATTTCATCACACTACTTTACTCAGAATGGCACAAAATTTGAAGTTTATGATTTTTTTTCCCTGGAATTTTCTATATAATACTTTTAGACCATGGTTGACCACAGGTAACTGAAGCCTCAGAAAGTAAAAACAAGGATAAGAGGGGAGACTACTGGATATGAAAAAATATTCTTTACCATTGCTTAGTTGACTGAGTATCTTTGAGTGCCAAAGATGTATGAATTCAGATGTTGCCTGCATAGATCTAAATTTTAGTTTTGTGTGCCTGTGTACATAGACAGATTCACTGTGGTTTACAACATATAAGCAGAACATTGTTTCTTTTCCTGTTTTCAACTGGCTTACCCTTCTCTATAGTGTTTTCCAGTACAGAAACTACTTATAAATCATTAAATAGGGTAATAGCTGTGATAATACACAGTTATTCTTGCCTCCTGCAAAATGATTTGATCAACCACATTCAAAACCCAGCATTTTCATCCTGGCCTGTGTGACTCGGTTGGGCATCACCCCATGCATCAAATCCCGATCAGGGCACATGCCCGGGTTCAGGTTCGATCCCCGATGGGGGGTGTGCAGGAGGCAGCTGATATATCTCTCTCCCCCTTTCATTTCCTCTCCTTCTAAAAAATATCTCAAAACAAACAAACAAACCAGCATTTTCACAAGTTCCACCATCAAAAACAGTATACTTCTTAGTTGACATGATTTGAAAGATTCCAGGGAAAGGTTCACATTTCCTAAAACTGTATTTGGTATGTGATTCAATGTGGCATTTCAGTCTTTATTATTTTAGAGAGGAAGGGAGAGAGAGAAACATCAATTTGTTGTTCAACTCATTTATGCATTCATAGGTTGATTCTTGTATGTGCCCTGACCTGGGATTGAACCCACAACCTTGGTGTATTGGGATGATGCTCTAAGCAACTGTGCTACCCAGCCAGGGTAGCATTTCAGTCTTGTTAGTCACGTGTCTGAAGTTTGCAAGGACTTATTGCCAACTAAGTGTACCACAGTACACCGAGAATAGCTAATTTAAAGGAAAGTCTTTCAAAGTATCTTGTTTTCATTTTCTTTAGAGGGTAATGTTTGGATTATTTTAAACATATATAAAAGTTAGTGAAGCCTCAGAAAAATCTCCAAGAAAGCATGAAAATAGAGACTAGCAAGTACAAATTCCTTAATTTAAAATTAATAGGAAATTAAAGGCTTTCTATAAACCTTAATATTTTGCTATAAACAAGAGGATTCAGGAAACAATTTATTTTCAGTGAAGGACTAAGTTCTCAAAGCTACACATTGATGCTTCTGGTTATTTCCATCATTGTCCTGTTGAAAAGTAGATCAGTGCTTTGTAATAAAAAAAATAAATAAGATGAAAACGAGCAAGCTCTTGTAACAGAGGACTGTGCCTCTGTGTAAAGTGATCGGGATTTTGCTGAAACCAAGGTACTACTCCTGAACCATCCCCCCTCACATACCTCTACTCCACACCTGGATACAAAGACTCCCGAGGACGAAGGGAAATCCACAGTCCATTGAAGATGCAATTCGGAACCAACTAATTTTTGTTCCCAGAATTTAGAACATTGAGTAGCTAATATATGTAATACCACTGGTTGATTATTCAGGTCTTTGAACACACTTTTAAAGTAGAATCCAAAGTCAAGAAAACAAACTTATCCAAAGTCAACTTTGTTTTATAAGTGTCCCCACCCAAAATAGATTTTAGGGCAGAAATGGGAAAGGGTTTTGTGTGATTTTACGCAGAATTAATTTTTGGAAAAGCTGCATTGGAGTGGATGAATTCTTCAGCATGCATTTTAAATAGGGGAGGAGGATTAGGTTTAATTTTAGTTTAAAAAATTTGGAGGGCAAAAATACATATCAAAAATGGGGGGAGTGTAAAAAGGTGACAGTTCTACAGTTTTGACATACAAGTTGTCTTTGGAATTTTTTTTCATTGTCAAGTGTAAGGATTCACATCAGAATGGCCTACTCTACACAGGTTTCTGTATTCCCTGGTGCTGCTCCCAACCTGAGTGCAATCGGCTGCCATACTGAGGCGAGAGCACTAGGGTGAATGTAGTCGGTGGTTTTATAAGTGATGAAAGCGTTTTCCATGGTGAGGCCTTCAGTATTTGGCTGAATGCAGAGTATGTTGAAGTGGTAAGGTGGTGATAAGTTTTCATCACTAGCCTTGTTTGCACTTTTGTACACTGCTTGCACTAGTATCTTAGTGTGAATTTTAACAGTTGTTTTACAGTGTATACAGATTGTTAAGCATAATTTATATAAAGATATTTCTGTTTACCTTTATGTATTTTAAAAAGAACACTACAATAGATGGTTAAATGTTCTTGAATTGTGTTTGTATGTTATTTTTATGTTCTATTATCTCTTCACCTCCTATGAATTTGATTGTCAGGAATAGAAAAATAAAATGCTAATCTTGTCATTGAAAAACCCTAGTATCAAGTTCCATTTTTATCATTCAGTTGTAATTTTCATTTTACTCGTTAGACTGTGATATTATGACAATAATAGAACTTTCCCTTTGTACAAGGATTCAAAGAAACTTTGCTAAGTACCAAGACTTAATTTGCCTTACGAGACTGGAAACAACTGTGGGCAAACTAAAGTAGGACTTACACAAAATTGACTGTTGAACTGTGAAAAATGAGGCAACCAGTTGGTTTTATCTATACCAAGGTTCTATGCTTTATGCATCAGAACCTCCTGGGAGCTTTCATCTCACACACACACGTGCAAAAAAAATTCCACCAAATATTGTGATTCAGATAGGGAAGGGGGATGGAGGGCAGTAATCTGAATCTGTAACAAGCTTTTTAGGTTTTCTGATGCCAGGATGTATTTTTCATTTAGGAAAAACAGAGCTATAACAATACTGAGTACTAATAACACTAATCATTGGCCAATCAGTGAAGAAAAAATCATTTTGGTAATGATTAAAAAGCTACTTTTGAGACTTAAATGCAAATATAAAACCTTTCTACAGCCATCACTTTAGCCTTCCCACTAACCATGTGCAGAATGGCAACAAGCATTGTGCTAGCTCTTTTATTTTTATTAATTTGAGAGAAACATTGATTTGTTGTTCTACTTATTTATGAATTCATTGGTTGGTTCTTGTATGTGCCCTGATTGAGGAGCGAACCCACAACCTTGGTTTATTGGGACAATGCTCTAACCAACTTGGCTACACGGCCAGGGCTGTGCTAGCTCTTTTAATATAAGCAATCATTCTATTGGTTCTATTAAAATTGGGCCCATCAAATAGAGATTTACCTATGGATTCAAGTTATTTGTGAATTGAAACTAAGTAGATAGTAATTGCATTGAAGGGACAAATGCTAAGAAAATAAAGTCCAGTTTATTTAGCTCATTTTCTTGAATTTAGCTACAACATTATATCAACTAGACACGTGGTCATCAAACTGCGGCTCGCGAGCCACATGCGGCTCTTTGGCCCCTTGAGTGTGGCTCTTCCTAAGCCTTAGGAGTACCCTAATTAAGTTAATAAAAATGTACCTACCTATATAGTTTAAGTTTAAAAAATTTGGCTCTCAAAAGAAATTTCAATCATCGTACTGTTGATATTTGGCTCTGTTGACTAATGAGTTTGCCAACCACTGAACTAGACTATCTGATACTTGTAAGGTACAAGTAATGCAAGTAACAGCCCCCAGTAGAGTATGCAAAGCCCTTGTTGGGAATAGGGGAACTTCCTAGGAAACAATGTAAAGTGGCCACCATCCTCCTCTTTGAAAGGTAAGAACAACAGCTTAGAAACCTGATGATGAAAGCCCTGGCCGGGTAGCTCAGTTGGTTAGAGCATCTTCCTGTTAAGCCTAGGTTTCAGGTTTGAGCCCTGGATGCCTGGTCAGGGCCTGGGGACATACAACCACCAACCAATGAATGCCTAAGTGGGTGGAACCACAAATAGAAGTTCTCTTTCTCTTTCTCAAAAAATCATTTTAAAAAATGTCCTAAAACAAGGCTCTGTTTCTGCCACCTCTCTTCCACAGGGTTCAGCTGGAGATTCAGTTAATTGACAAAGGTCAGGGCCTATGCCTACAAAGCCTCTTGTTTATTAGTTTATCTAAAATTAGACACCAAGTCTCAGTAATTTCTGGCTATTACTTAGTAAAGTAAGCCTTGCTTTGGAATGAAAATTTGATTTGGGAGGGACATTGTGGTGAACAATTTTAAGATGTTTATTAAAGTCACTGACCTCGGTGATGGCAGTATGCCACTGCAGACAAGCTGATAATGTTGCAAAAAGATCTAAAGTGTTTTCTTCTTTGATCGAATTGAAAGGGCTTGGGTTAATGGGTAACACATTCCTCCAGTCAAAGAGCTTTGCACTGTGGCATGTTTCATGGCTATTAAAAGTAAAGGAGGGGAAGAAATAATTGAAGGTGAGGTTTAGGTGGACAGGGAGAGAAACACAGGGGTGGGGGTGGGGGGTCAAAATGGAAATTTTTAAAGTACTTTTTTAAAAATTGAATTTATTAGGTGACATTGGTTAATAAAATTATATTGGTTTCAGGAGTACAAGTCTACATAAACCAGAAATTTTTGTTTACTGCTTTCTTGAGCTAAAACGGAGTGAAATTCAACAGTGGAATGGTAATCCTATTTCATTCGGGATTAGCAAACTCTCAGAAACCAGAGTGATTACAAATATTATCAAGTACCATTCTCTTCTAGCAAGGGCTAGGGTTTGGGTTGAAATTATTTTTAATAAATATATGTTTGTTTCATAGAAGAAGGGAGAGAGAAACATTAATGATGAGAGAGAATCTGATCGGCTTCTCCTGCACGCCCTCCTTCTGGGGATTGAGCCCGAAACCTGAGCATGTGCCCTTGACAAGAATTGAACCCATGACCTTTCAGCCCACAGGCCGATGCTCTATCCACTGACCCAAACCGGCTAGTGCTGAAATCTCTTTAGACCCACCTTGTAGTTGGGAAGTCACACCACATTGATTGCAGTCTGGAATAAAGCAAGTTGTAGAACAGACTGACAGATCTCAAAGGGCAGGGGTGTGAGGAGGGGAGAGATTAACCAAAGAATTTACTAGTCTATGCATATATGCATTGCCCATGGACACAGACAATAGTGTGGGGAAGGCCTGGGGTGGGGTAGGGGCTGGATGGAGCGGGCAACGGGAGGGAGGAATGGGGGCATCTGTAATACTGTCAAAAAGAAAAGAAAAGCCCTGACCGGTTTGGCTCAGTGGATAGAGCGTCGGCCTGCGGACTGAAGGGTCCCGGGTTCGATTCCGGTCAAGGGCATGTACCTTGGTTGCGGGCACATCCCCAGTAGGGAGTGTGCAGGAGGCAGCTGATGGATGTTTCTCTCTCATTGATGTTTCTAACTCTATCCCTCTCCCTTCCTTTCTGTAAAAAATCAACAAAATATTTAAAAAAAGGAAAGAAAAGCAAGTTGACTTTCTCCATCCTGGGGACTTCACCTTGAGGCCTGAATGGCCGAGAGCCCCTCTGAGGAAGGGACAGACAGGAGAGGTCTAGCCTGTTCTGGACGCCAGGGAGGCCAAGTAGGTGGCAGCTTGTTGTAACGAGGGGCTCCATGGCTGGGGAGACAGCTCTTCCTGAAGGAAGCTGCTTTCGTTCCTAACTGCCTGGCAGCAGATGGCAGGGGCACAAAGCTATTTAGGGAATAGTCTGAGGTTGCACCCAGCTTCTATTTGGGGCCAGCTCAGCATCACCAGTCCTCTGGCAGTCGGGTGGCAGCGGCGCCCCTTTTGGATTCTCTGGGGCCTCAGCCTGCCTTCCTCCTTGGAGAAGCAGTGCCCTGCCGTCTGATTACCTGGTGACTTTGCCCACCACCCCAAGTGCCAGTCCCGGGCTGTGCAAAGCAGGGGCAGGGTCCCTACTCGCCAGGTTCTGTCTTTTTCTCTCTCTCACACAGCCTTACCCCTACAGGAAACCATTAGTTAGCACCAGGCATTTACCGTGGATGGTGCTGGGGTTGGATTCAGGTCGGGGCGCTTGGCCTCACTTCCTGCCTGCCTTTCCTTCAGTCAGCAGACATATCCTGAACTCCTGCCTGCTGGGCCCGCGTTGCATAATGAAACATGGGCAGAGATCTGCTGAAGGCACTGTGGACAGCAATAAGAAGTCCCCAGACTATCGAGGTTTCTAGAAAGGGGGCACCAGAAGTGAACCTTAAAGGAGTACGAATTGGTTAAGTGCAGAAGGGGCAAGAGAGGATAGAACAGCAAAGACAAAGGCAGGGCAGAAAAGGACACTGGTTTGCGGGCTGGGAGAGCCCGTGCCTGGGGAGGTGTTGTGTGGAGGTGTCAGGAGGAGGCAAGCGTGAGAGGAAAGCCTGCAGAGCAGGAGGCAGGAAAGGGCTGCTCTTTTCCCACATCTCAACCTGCTTCTTACTTGTAATTAAGTACATTATTTCTCACACCAATGTCCAAACCAGCGTTTTATGACGCATGGCCATGTTTTCCAAGCCAAGGTAGGGGCCAGTGATCCAGAACAGCCCGCCCGCGGGGCCATGGTCGGGACGAGGACGTGCTGCTTTGAAGTTGGGGCCACCTGGGCAGGCATGTGTTCTTCTCCAAGTGCCACACTGACCACTGAGCAGGGGCACCTGCATGTGTGGCGCTGACGAGGCAAATGACCCAGACCCCCCAACTGAGATGTCCTGAGTTAAATGGCAGCAATGATGAAACAAACAAACAACGGAGATGTCCTGATCGACAGTAAGCCACAGGTCGGAAGGAAGAGACGAGAGAGGCTAATCAGCCACAGCTGCAGGAGAGACGGCCCCCGTGCCTGAGTGTAGGTGGACACTTGGCATTACCGTCCAGGCGGCTTTCTGGATTCTCTAAAGGAGAAGAGCCGAGGAGCCAACCACGAGGAGCCACAGGCCACCAGGCGCCTCCAGCCTTGCTGCGCGTGGCCTTCCAGACTGTTGCCCACAACCAACCTCAACAGCTACCACTGCTTCCCTAGGGCCTCTGCCCCTCTCCCAGAACACTCCTCTGCACACCCTTCATCTGTAGCCGGTTCTTTCAAACAACTTACATCTTTCTCCCTTGAACCCGAAGCACGAAGGAGCCCAGGACGGCGGCCGCGGTGTCTCCTCCGTTCGTCCGGCGCTGCTGCTGGTTCTGGGCTGCGTGCCGCAGGATCTGGTTCTTTCTGGCTGGCCTATGGCTTAACGAGCCCCTTCTTTTAGGAACGCGTTCAGCTGTGAAGGCCTTTTCTTTGTTGTTTAATAGGAAAGATTCTGGTTTGGGTTAAAACTAAAACACGTGCTGAAGCTATCGAAACAGCAGCTCTTACCAACCTACAGATGACCTGGCTGAGGCCAGGGGGCGCTCTCTGGGGACCCGGCTGGCAGGCGGGAGCTGACAGCTTCTGTCCCTCTGTGGCCATTCCCTCTGCAGCCTCTGAGCTGG